CGTACTAAGATTTCTTCCCCCCCTATTTAAGCCAGACTTATTGAAGTCACCATGGGAACCTAAACTCCAGTTACAAAAGCAGGTTTCTTAAACTCATTTTTGCAACTAGAACTTAAAGAATACCACAAAAGACACCTCCATTTGAACACATGCCTGAAAATGCAAGAAAGGGCCATTTAAAAGAAAATTAAGATTTTGGAAACTGCCTCTGTTAGGAAAGATCTGAACTTCAAGAGTTTCCTATCCTACAAAATAAAAAACAAACACCCCTCCCCCCTCAAAACACAGTAAATGTAACTCTCTCAGAAATCTCTATTACTGAGCTGGTGTTTTAACCTTTTAAAATCCATTTCTTAAAGCTCAATGATGCACTGTGAAGTATTCCTAAACTTAGAAGTCAGAATGCTACCACATTTCCAGATCAACAGACTATACAAACCATTGTGGTTTTTTTGGATACTAATTAGCTTTGGATGTTGTCTAAAAATTCTAAACTAGCACAAAACTTAAGGTAGAAAATTAGAATTACATAATTTGGGGGAGAAGTAGGGAAAGCCTGAAGAAAACTAATTTCCATAATTCTGCCAGGCAGCAAGATTCTGTTTAACCTCTCTTCGATTCCCAAACAAAATTTTCTAAAGCAATGTCCGAGTACAAAGACACCTTTGTACTGAAATCTAGCTAATCAGTTTATAGTTACAGTGAAAAATATTTTGGCAGAATGCCAAAAAACAAGGTGTTAATAACAAAGATGTAACGGTGAATGTCAGCTTGGTATAAAAACTTCCTGTTTTAATGGTCTCAAACTCACTGGTGATATTAATTTTATGTGTATGTTATGTATTATTTAAAAAAAGTCTACAACTGTTGAAACGGAGTTTCAACCAGATATTCTTCGGCACCTGCAATTGCACAATTTGTGGATAAGCCCTCTGATATGCTTCCAAAGGAATGCACTTATTGGTAAAGTTATCCTTCAAGCGTCAAACTTCCAAAGATAAACAGAACAATCTGAAGACATTTTATAAGAGTACCATAATTCTGGGGGGAAAATAAGATTTTTTTTTTTTTTTTTTTTAAAAGTCAGCCACACTAAACCTAACATTAGTATTTAACATTTATGAAGTGACATGGAGAAAAGAATGGAGACCTGAATATTGATTAGAGGCATTTCAAAACTAAATTGGGAAAACTTTTACAGGTATTTCAAAACACTGGAAGCATGGGAAAACATCTAGAGACATTCCTCAAAAAAAGAAAAGTTTAAAACCCAACTCTTCTTTCATTCCACCAATTATCGAGCAGGACCAAAATTAATTGCATAGAGAATTAATGGGGTGCCAGAATCAATTTGATAGTTTTTCCCCAAACTCTAGTGACTAAACAATTCTCATTTAAAAAAGCAGTGGTGAGCATTAGGACTGTTGCTGTTTTTGTCTATCCTCAGCATCTCTCTCTCAGCCACCCTGTATCTACCTCTGCAGGGAAGCATTAAGTTGAAGCAAAGAAGTATTACACTTGCAGCTGGTTACATAATGGAAGTGATTAAAATCATACAGTCCTGCTTTGTTGTGGGGTAATTTGTTCATGACATTAGCCGCCTATTAGTCTATGTCCTGAAGCATGAAGATTGATTACACCTGTAAAAACGTATAGCCAGTGTAACTGCAGGCTATATTTATTATGCTATGGGATAGTCATCCACAGGTTAAAAAAAAAAAAAAGCCCTGTACTGCACGACAAATGCCAGAAAGTATTGTAGTGAAAAAGCTTGCATTAGCGAGGAAGGATTAAGTGATTTCCTAAGTCTCTCTCCACCTTTATATGTCAAATTTATTATTTTCACTTTGCTTCTTTAATTTTCTGTGAGTGAATTCTACATGTTAAGTAAAGTGGTATTAAAAAAACCCAGTATTTCCCTATATCTTTTGTTTCATTGAGTACCCTGTGTTCTTATATTGTGGAAGAGGGCAAAAAGATATGCCCAGCTGGTCTTCACATTTGTTTCATCCCTAGGTCAGGTTTCTCTTGCAGACAGAGAGACTCCCATATATCTTGACTGAATTAAAGCCACATTAGTTCAGCCTTTGAATTCCCTTTTACCACTTCCAAGACATCAACAATACCTGTTAATCTGTTATAAAAGGAACTTCAGGATGCAGATAGGAGTGAGCTACTGTCTCTTAATCTAGGTGATAATGTTATGTTTAACCTAGACAATATTCATCTCTGGGGAAATTTAACTTTTATTCTAGCACAGCCAATGAACTCTTTATAAAGCTAACAAATTAGAAAGAAGTAAAAATAATCAACTCACCCTGCTAGGGTGTGTCCACACTAGGAGAAAAAAAGTGTTCTCTTACCACATTAGCCAACATAATAAAATCCCAGTGAAGACAAGGCAGTCTCTAGTTTTCACCTATTCACAAGTTGAGGTAAACACTAGCAGGAACACGTTTACCTCAACCTGCTAATAGTGTTAAAACTACAAACTGCCTTGCCTTTATTTGAACTTAAACTCATGTTGGTTAACATGTGACCAGGCCACCTGTTTTCCTGATGAAGCCAAGGCCTTTGACATTTTATTGGGGGGGGGGGGGTCTAGCTATATCATGGGTATTAATTATAACATTCAGGATTCTAATATATTCTGCTCTACTTACATGTACCTCAGGTTTTGGTATGGATGTGTCCCTCCCTTGCATTCTAGCTTCTCATTTAAAATACACATCAATTTCTAAATAAGCAAAATGCTGGGATTAGACATTTTCAGGTGTCTGAAGAAATACCTACTTTTCCTCTCATATTGTGGTGGTCTACTGCTAAGGGTCTTGTCGTTCCCCACTATCTCTGCTTAAGTTATATTGGGTATAAACTTTCCCATGGGAAAAATCTACAGGTTATTTCTGTTATTCAAGCAATGTAGCAGAAGAAGATGATACAAAGGTCTCAAAAAGGGGTGGCAGTACAGAAGTGTAATTTGTATCATCTGTCCCCTCAACAAATTCTAGTTTCAAAAGTGACAAATTGAAGCAGCCTTGTCAATGGTGAGTATTTCTTCAGCCATACCTTATTTCCACTTCCACTGAAGTGCAGACACAAAAGTTATGCAATTGAACAGGAAAGAGAGTACAATTACACCTAATTGAGCAATAAAACAAATTAGAAGCTATACTGCATGGATTTATAAGTAGTTTTCAGCATCATGAAACTAAGCCTGAACTGCTAACAGACTTTTTTTTTTTTTTTAAATAATGGACTGACTGAAGAAATAGAAGAAATCAGATTTTTTCAATTTGAACAAATTTTAGATTTATATCACCCTTCAGTACAATCTTTTTCTAAGTAATCACACTGGTACAATATAAATATAGGTACTGGCTGTCAGACTGATTTTGAGACCCAGTATTGGGAACAACTTTGAGCTCTATTTCCTAGTCTTCTACAGCTCAGACATGGAGTCACAGAGCAATAAGACTGGTGTCAAAGAGGAGTGGAAAAGGGGAGGAAAGACAATGGCTGGTTGCTACAGTGTTTCCCCTTGACCACTTACGGAAGTGACTTTAAAAATTAAAACTGGTCAGTGCCTAGAACTGAGAAACGTCCCATACAATACCAAAATAATCTACATGTCAATCATGCTTTAAGAATGAATTTTAACATGAGTACAGGGAGTTGCATGTACAACTGTAGTAACAAAACATATGGTGATAAATGCAACCTTAGTAATCTCAATCTGACAAAGTGGTTTATCTGCTCTCATCATATGGCTGCTGAAGGAGCTTACATAGAATCTAGAGACGGAAAAGACCTATTAGGTCATGTAGTCCAGCTCCCTGCCAATTCAGGATTGAAACAGTCTTTACCTGTTCCATGAAGACTTAAATACAGCAAATACATTTTACTGGCAACATGGTGGTTGGCAAATGACAAATTTTTATTAAGGAGTTCTGTTGGGAAAGAGGAAATCAGCTAAAACATTTTTCTAAAGAGTTCTCTTTTTTTTGGGAAGAAGAATCAGAAATATTTATTTTTGCACTGGGAAAATATCTGTTTTATTAATCTTTTAAATAGTAATTACTACAGATAGCAAAAGCTTTATTCGACATGCAACAAATTATGAATACTTTGAAACAGCATTCAAAAGATGGAGTTTAAGGATAAGACCAAAAAATTTAATCTGGAAATTACACCTATTGCTGAAAGAAAGATGTGGGAGAAGACAAATTTCCATTCTGAATAAGAAATAATCATTCCATTGGAACTTTGATAGCGGAAATAAGCAACCATTCAACATGACACTTAGCAAAATGTAACATACATCAGGTTATAAGATTAATCTTTTTAAGCTATACTGATGCCCATTGCTTCAAATAAGATATCTGTTCAAACCAAGTTTATTTTGTATTTCAGTAACGTCCTATTGTCCAGTTAGGATATGATGAATGCATGATACTGTTAAGCTTTCAGTGGAAATAAAACCAGACATGAGCAACTGCCTTTAAACAATATACAAAAACATTCACTGGAGAATGTTGATTCAACTTTAATGTTTCTATCCAATTTGAGTAAACTAAGAATTGAATATGTTCATTAATGAAGACTTCATATAAAAGCAGTATTTCTACTGAAGTGAGGATGGATTTTTCGTGGAGCGAATAGGATTTAAAGCAAAGTATTACAGACATTCACAAATGTAAAAAGACAACAACAACAAAAAAGAGAAAAGTAGCTTAGTAGCAGAGTTATAGGACAGAGGGGACTCTCGAGCCCTACAGCAATGGTGCACAATACATTTCGAAACAGCCTGCTGCAAAGGACAGTTGGGAATTCCCAGTGAAGATCAGTAAGAAGTCAGTACACATCAACATGGAGAAACAGGATGTCTAATTGGGACTTTTTAAAAAAATAATTAGATTGGGGCAAAATACGTGACCGTGTGCATGGATACTGCTTTGTACACAGTGGACACTACCAGTACTCACAATTAGTGAACTTACCTTTTCTTTGAATGAAAATCCTGAGCAGAGGATTGGCTGTGGAAACTGCTTTATGATAATTGTCATCGTTGTTGATAGGCAGCAGATCTCCATGAATGTCTATATACCCAACTAAAACTTCAACATTGGGGATCTTGTGCACATGCTGCAATAATCCATAAAACTCCTCAAACTTTCCAGGTTTGGTTCTTTCCAGAGAAAACCGTCGAAATTCAGCTCCAAACTACAATAAAGACATCTGATTTTAGTAAGACAAATCACTATGTACACTAAGACAACAGGATAACTTGAAAGTTACAGTAAGTGTTTACCGGGTCAAAAATTTGATTTACAAAAATATGATAAACTTAATGCATAGCCAAAAGATTCTGAAGATTTGAGTGAAAAGGTGACCTTTCAGATGTACTAATGTCAGAGGCCATGCCACATGGTTCAAAATATGTATGCAATTATTTCTGTCTTGAAGTAATCTGCTCCAATGCGATGTCTTGATCAGAATGTGTTTACTTTTGATTCTGTGCAAATATTTTTGTTTTTACTGTTATATTTAACTCCGAGCCCAAATAACCACATGTAAGGTTAAAGCCTGGTCTACACCTAAAAATTAGATCAACCTAGCTACACTCCTCAGGGCTGTGAAAGATTCTGCACCCTGTGCGATGGAGCTATATAAACATACGCCCCGACTGTTGGGTTGGTAGTGATTGCATGTCTAACATAGTGAATGCCAGTGAAAATGAGGTAGGATCAGAGGCTAAAACAGGGAAAGAATAAGTTAAAAATTACTTAGACAAGTTAGATGTTTTCAAGTCACCAGGCCCTGATGAAATGCATCCTAGAATACTCAAGGAGCCAATTGAGGAGATATCTGAGCCATTAGCGATTATTTTTGAAAAGTAATGGAAGACTGAAGAGCTTCCAGAAGACTGGAAAAGGGCAAATATAGTGCCAATCTACAAAAAGGGAAATAAGGACAACCCAGGGAATTACAGACCAATAAGCTTAACTTCTGTACCAGGAAAGATAATGGCGCAAATAATTAAGCAACCAATTCGCAAACATCTAGAAAATAATAAGGTGATAAGTAACAGTCAGCATGGATTTGTCAAAAGCAAATTGTGTCAAACCAACCTGATAACTTTCTTTGACAGGGTAAAACGCCTTGTGGATAGGGGGAAAGCGGTAGATATGGTATATCTTGACTTTAGTAAAGCTTTTCATACTGTCTCGCTTGACCTTCTCATAAACAAACTAGGGAAATACAACCTAGATGGAGTTACTATAAGGTGGGTGCATAACTGGTTGGAAAACCATTCCCTGAGAATAGTTATCAGTGGTTCACAGTCATGCAGGAAGGGCATAACAAATGGGGTCCCACAGGGATCAGTTCTGGGTCCAGTTGTGTTCAATATCTTCATCAATAATTTAGATAATGGCATAGAGAGTGTAAGAGTACTCTTACAAAGTTTGAGGATGATACCAAGCTGGTAGGGGTTACAAGTGCTTTGGAGGATACAGTTGTAATTCATAATGATCTGGACAAACTGGAGAAACGGTCTGAAGTAAATAGGATGAAATTCAATAAGGACAAATGCAAAATACTCCACTTAGGAAGGAACAACCAGTTGCACACATACAAAATGGGAAATTACCGCCTAGGAAGGAGTAATGCGGAAAGGGATCCGGGGAACATAGTGGACCACAAGTTAAATGAGTCAACAGTGTAACATTGTTGCAAAAAAAAGCAAACATCATTCTGGGATGTATTAACAGAAGTGGTGTAAGCAAGACAAGAGAAGTAATTTTTCTGCTCTACTCCGCGCTGATTAGGCCTCAACTGGAGTAGTGTGTCCAGTTCTGGGCGCCACATTTCAGGAAAGATGTGGACAAATTGGAGAAAGTCCAGAGAAGAGCAACAAATATGATTAAAGGTCTAGAAAACATGACCTATGAAGGAAGATTGAAAAAATTGGGTTTGTTTAGTACGGAAAAGAGAAGATGGAGAGGGAATGTGATAACTGTTTTTAAGTACATAAAAGGTTGCTACAAGGAGGAGAAAAATTGTTCTTCTTAACCACTGAAGATAGGACAAGAAGCAGGGTTTTAGCCCATGAAAGCTTATGCCCAAATAAATGTGTTAGTCTCTAAGGTGCCTTGTTGTTTTTGCTGATACAGACTAACATGGCTACCCCTCTGAAACATATTTCTTGGGTTCATGTTGCATAGTTTAGGTCTAATGTACCACATAGGAAATGGGATCCTTGCTATTGTCATGACCAATTCTGTCTCTCACGTTTATTTTCAAAAATAATATCATCAAAAGTTTTATTTGCATTCAACTTGGGAGTCTGTGAAAACCCAGCAGAGACAAGGACCCTATAGTACCATACTAAGTCAAACAGTTAGCACAACAAATTGAGAATTCTCAATACCTTCTGAACTTCAACACTCCTCCTCCCTTTAAAGATGTTTAAATAAAGGAATTCACTGCAAATATCTCTGTTCTATAGATACTCTAATGACACTAACATTAGTGAACAATAAGGTAGAATGAATTACTCACATTCTGATTTCAGTCACGCCTGTGCATAACAAAGTAAATAAAACCTGCATGAGGAACTGCCTTCAGTCAAGAGCAGTGTGCTTTATTATGACATCAATAAAAGAACTTCTCCTTTGTTCCCATTAACTGTTTCCCCAAGAATTTGAAATATGCAACATCCAATGAATTTCCCACATATTATATATATTGCCACTGTTTGTATATTACTTATAATTAATTTTCCAGTACTGTAGTTTAATGTGACAGACATCAAATATAATTTCACATGAGCTAAAAAGGACATGTTTAAAGTTACAATATCATAAAATGTCCAGCTTTTCAGAAATAACTGCATATTTTCATGCATACACTACAAGCACATTTATTGTGTCTACAAAAACAACAAGGAGTCTGGTGGCACCTTAAAGACTAACAGATTGTGTCTGCATGCTTGTGCAGTTACTACAATCATGCAAGTGACAGTCTCAAAATCTTTTTCCAATGTAATGCTTGCTGTTTCCATTTCAAAACAAATATTCCAATTTCATTGTAGTTTCTGTTCTTTCCCAAAACAACATAATTTTTGCAATTGTACATCATGTATTTACATGGTACTTTACTCTCTTAAAGAGACAGGCTGCACTATGCAAAACACAGGACAAGAAAGTTATGGGGGATTATTCAGACAGGAGAGAGTGCTTGAAGAGGTGGATTTCAGAGGGGAGGAGAGTATTTATCCAAGAACTGTGGGCTTGTCTACATTGGCACTTTACAGCGCTGCAACTTTCTCACTCAGGGGTGTGAAAAAACACCCCTGAGCACTGCAAGTTTCAGCGCTGTAACGTGCCAGTATAGACTGGTTTCAGAGTAGCAGCCGTGTTAGTCTGTACCTGCAAAAAGAACAGGAGTACTTGTGGCACATTAGAGACTAACAAATTTATTTGAGCATAAGCTTTCGTGGGCTACAGCCCACTTCTTCAGATGCATAGAATGGAACATATATTGAGGAGATATATATACACACACACACATACAGAGTGCATGAAAAGGTGGGAGTTGTCTTACCAACTCTGAGAGGCCAATTAAGTAAGAGAAAAAAAACTTTTGAAGTGATAATCAAGATAGCCCAGTACAGACAGTTTGATAAGAAGTGTGAGAATGCTTACATGGGGAGATAGATTCAATGTTTGTAATGGCTCAGCCATTCCCAGTGTAGACTGCGCCCCCAGCACTGGTAGCTACACCCCTCATGGAGGTGTTTTTTTAGAGCGACTACACAAGCCAAATTCTTTAACATTGCTAGTGAAGACGTGCCCTGTAGCACTTCAACAACATGAATAAACAAATGTAAGAGGTGAAGTATCACCATTTCATAGATGGTAAGTGCAGCACAAATCCCTTCTTTATGCTAGGAAATTGTCAGATCTACACTGATAGTTACACGGTTTTGAGAAAAGGCAACGCTGATTTTCAGCATGCATTGTTACAGAGAACAGACTAATGCCGACTGGTCTTGTGCTGGCTGTATCATCCTGCCTCTCTATTACTTGATAACTTCTTGCAGCAATGTTCTGAAGTAATGCAGACATACCAATCCATGTGTCTAGAATACCAGAACTAGTTTGACACAGAATCTGTCATACCAGATTGAGCCCCGTGCCTCTAGAAAGAGGAACCTCAATACACTGCTTATCGTGCAGCGCAGTATTGAAGGGGAAAATGTCCCCATGACCTAAACAGTAACTAACTTACATCCTAAAGAATGATATTTAGTTACCCTTATTTCAGCAAATACAAACATTCTTGGTGGTAAAATTATCCAGTCTTAAAAAAAAAATATTCATCTACAACATTTGTTGCAGAGAATTTCAGGGTGTGAAAGAGTAAAGCTTTCCCATAAGTTTATCTCTCTCCCCGACCCCAGCCAGGGAAGATGATCATTATGACAAAAGATGTGCTGAATCAAAGCATTTCTACTGCAGTAGCATGAAGGAGCCCCAATCATGGTCCAGGAATCACCCCACTATGCTAGCTTGTACAAACTCTTTACAAAAAAAGACTGTCCTCACTAAGAACTTACAGTCTCTTCTATCATATTGATATCAAACAGGCATGAACATAAAAACATCTGGTTCCATTATATACTTTCAGCCTGTTTTCAAACACCACATTTGTCTGGGGCTTTTTGAGACCTAGAAGCCTGGGTTGAAAAAGGGTTTGTTTTTAAATATATACTCATGTTTTGTTTTGGCTATTTACAATGAAAAAAAAGTTAGAATAAAACTTCAGAGCAACTATAGTTTCACTCATGCTTAACTAGTACTTGGAGTCATGGTCAGCAGGTGCCATCACTCTTTAGCTTTTGTCCACACAAATCTTCTGAAATTCTCCCATGGTTCCTCACTTGCTCTAGCACAGGGGTGGGCAAACTATGGCCCGGGGGCCACATCCGGCCCTTCAGACATTCTAATTCAGTCCTCGAGCTCCCGCTCCAGCCGGGGAGCGAGGTCGGGGGATTGCCCTGCTCCACGTGTGCCGTGACTCCACGTGGCTCCTGGAAGCAGTGGCATGTCCCCCCTCCAGCTCCTACGCACAGGAGAGCCAGGGGGCTCCACATGCTGCCCCCACCCCAAGCCCAACCCCCCAGCTCCCATTGGCCGAGAACCACAGCCAATGGGAGCTGCAGGGGTGGCGCTTGCGGATGGGGCAGCGCACAGAGGCACCTGGCCACACTGCCGCATGGGAGCCAGAGGGGGGACATGCTACTGCTTCCGGGAACTGCTTGAGGTAAGCACTGCCTTGAGCCTGCACCCCTGACCCCCTCCCACCCCCTGCCCCAGCCCTGATCCCCCTCCCACCCTCCAAACCCCTCAATCCCAACCCAGAGCACCCTCCAGCAACCCCAACCTCTCATTCCCAGCCCCTCCCCCCCCCAACCCTCTGCCCCAGCACGGAGCCCTCTCCCACACCCTAAACTCATTTCTGGCCCCATCCAAGGGCCTGCATCCCCAGCCGGAGCCCTCACATCCTCCCACAGCCTAACCCCCAATTTTGTGAGCATTCATGGCCCGCCATAAAATTTTCATACCCAGATGTGGCCCTTGGGCCAAAAAGTTTGCCCACTCCTGCTCTAGCACCAATACAACCTACAGCAGAAATCGCTGGTATATTTTTTACCACCCTTAGGGTAGTAAAGGGTAGTAGTAAGGGTCACGTAACCCTTAAAAATGCATATGCCCTGTCCACATTAAAGCTACCAGTTATTGTAAACAAAGATGGAAACTATAGAATAGACAGGATTGGGCTTCACACTGGTAAAAATGTTTATAACCAATCAGCATTACAGCTTCCATCAGTGGAGAAACATACAATTTTCCCCAATATATGTGCACCCTTAAGCCTTGCCTAGACAAGAGGAAAATGTGCTTTTTAGATCAATATGAATTAAACTAAACCAAATTAAGGCCACATTAATTCTGAACAACAGCATCCACACTGGGATTTAATGTCATTTAACTAACTTCAAATTCACACCTCTAGTTAATTTGGTTTAATTTTCCCAGCTGTCCCTGTGTAGACAATCCCCAAATTACCTAATTCTATTTATGTATGCAGTGTTGTTGTAGTCATGTTAGTCACAGGATATTAGAGAAGCAAGGTGAGTGAGGCAATATCTTTTATTGGACCAACTTCTGTCATAGAAGAGCTCTGTGTAAGTTTGACTCTCTCACTAACAGAAGCTGGTCCAATAAAAGATATTACCTCATCCACCTTGTCTCTCTAATTCAATTTAGGTAAAATGACATGAAACACTCCTTAACACCCAGTTTAGACACAGTTCAACACCTTGACAATTGTGGGTTATATGAGCAGATAACAAGATTCCAGAACTGTTGTACTGCATCTAAATTAGGATCTTGTATAGACTAGGATAAAAGATTTTTTTTGCAAAAACACATTAGCAGCGCAACTTATTTTTGTTCTGTTCACACTAGATCTTTAAATCATGTTAAAACATGTTAGCCAGCATGTTTTTAAAAATACATTTTTATCCTAGTCTAGTAAAAAAGCATAGTATTAGGGGCATTTCAAATCATGTTAGCTAAACTGATTTTTTGAAGAGCACCTTTTTTCCCTAAAAAGCAACAGAGTCTCCTGTGGCACCTTTAAGACTAACAGATGTATTGGAGCATAAGCTTTCGTGGGTGAATGCCCACTTCGTCGGATACATCTGTTAGTCTTAAAGGTGCCACAGGACTCTCTGTTGCTTTTTACAGATACAGACTAACACAGCTACCCCTCTGATACTTGACACCTTTTTTCCCTAGTAATTTTCCCTATATAATCTGCATTTGTTTTCCTATATATTCTGTTAGTCTGCATTCAGTTTCAGGGGGAACCCTCTCAGTCTTGTTTTACACTTCAATGGAGTAATTTTAGGGAAAGCAGTGTGCCTGCCCAATCAGTAAAGTTATGCTGTAACTTCTGTTAAAGACTATCAAATTTTGCAGTGGATGATCATCTATAACCCTGTTGGGGATAGAAGGGGAAAAAAGTGATGAAGAGTGATCTGACAAGGGGGCTAGTGCTGATAGGAGGCATCAGGCTACAGTAGGGTGACCAGACAGCAAGTGTGAAAAATCGGGACGGGGGTGGAGAATAATAGGAGCCTATATAAGAAAAAGACCCAAAAATCGGGACTGTCCCTATAAAAATCAGGACATCTGGTTACCCCAGGCTACAGGGACAATACCCAGTATTAATTATTACTAGTGTCAATCCTATAGCTGTTTGACTAATATCACAAGGCTGTGACACAATACACCAATGGCTCTCAAACTTTTTCACTGTTGACCCCTTTCACATAGCAAGCCTCCGAGTGCGACCCACCCCCTTATAAATTATTTATATATATTTAACCCATTATAAATGCTGGAGGCAAAGCAGGGTTTGGGGTGGAGGTTGACAGCTCGCAACCCCCCATGTAATAACCTTGTGACCCCCTGAGGGGTCCCAACCCCCAGTTTGAAAACCCCTGCAATACACCAATCATCTTGCTCCAAGGCCCTGGTACAGGTACCAAGCAAAAAGAACTGTCCTAGATCCCCTGAAAACCCCAAGAGAGACCCCTCTACCCTTAGGCAACCTGGATCTTCCTTGCAGACACACTCCCCAACACCCAGGACTTCCTCCCCACCCTGGGAATCTCCCTCTTGGTGCCACCTTCTGCAGGTGAGTCGTCAGCAGCTCTCCCTCCCCCCACCCAGTACAGAACTAGCCCTGGCCCCGTGCCGACAACTCACAGGCAGACCTTGGGTGTGCTCCCCCAAGGGATTCCCCGAGCCCAGATGCCCCCCTCCCTCAACGCTTCCCTCCTGATGACCCCAACGTTCACTGAGGCTCGTCCTGCCCCCCGCCCCCCCTCACGGACCGACGCCCCCCCCCCCCCCGGGGGCCCCCCCCTCCCCCCCCCGTTTCAAAGGGCCGCTCCGCCCCCTGCGGCCCCTCACGGATCGTCGCCCTGGGCCCGCTACCCACCTTGCTCTTCACTTCCATGGTGCCGAGGCCCCGGCTGCCCCCAGCGCTGCGGTGGGTCCGGTTCATGCCGCCAGACGGTCTGTGTCCCCGGGCGCGCTGTGGGGGGAGGGGGAGAACCCGGGCAGTTCCGAGCCCAGCCTCCCAGCCACAACCTGCTGCTGCCGCCGCCGAGCCTCCTCCTCACACACACCCAGGAGGGGGGAGGAGCCGCCCCACAGAACGCCGAGCTGCGCCTGGCACCTGCCGCTCCCGGGAGAGGGCTGGGGGCAGGTAGCGCATGCGCGCCGAGCACTCACAGAAGGGAGGGGGAGTCTCGGTGCACCTGCAGCGAGCGCGCATGCGTAGCTGTCGCCCCGCGAGCGAGAAGGAAAGAAAGCTTAGGCGCACCTGCAGCCAGTGCGCGTGCGTCCAACGTGAGCACCTGCTCGCCTACTTTCCAAAGGGGAAGGCGCACGCGCGGCTGCGAACGCCAGGCGGGGGGTTGGCAGGTGTCAGTACCCTATTACTAACTGACCTGAGGTTATTGTAGGCAAAGACCCACTCTCAGAACTGGGATTGTGGGGGGATGCAGCACACCGCATTGCAGAGGCACAGTAAGCCCCCGGTGCTGGGATTGCGGGGGCACAGTACACCACCCAGTACTGGGATTAAAGAAGGACTCACCCCCACAATTCTGGGATTATGAGGGCCACAGTGCATCACCTATAGTGGGATTATGGGGGGGTCAAAGTGCCCCCGTGAGGCTGGGAATATGTGGATGGGGACAGAATACACCTCCTCTTGGTGCTGTGAGACCGTGTTCGAGGAAATAAGGGTGCTGTAGTATCCCACCAAAGATCAGGACTGGCTTCAACTACAAATAAAGATAATCAACTTTGTGAGGCCCTTCATTTTTAGGGATTCCTGCACATAGTTTTCTGGAGTTTATGTCCAGAAAGGGCCATAAAATCATCTAAATTGTTATGTCCAAAAAGGACTATTAAATCATCACCATTAAATCCCACACAACAGAAGCCATCAGATTTCACTCAAATATCCCTGTTGGGCCCAATGACTTCAGTCAAACTAAAGCATTTCAATCCTTAGAAAAATAGACTGTCTTGTGCCACAGGTAGAGAACAGGATACTGCCAATGCCCCGAGAGGCCCATGCAATGCGGGGAATTGATTAGGTGAGACATGCCAAGATGATCCTAGGAAGTGATCCATGCCCCATGCTGCAGAGGAAGGTGGAAAACTCCCAAAATCCCTGCCAATCTGACCTGGGGGTAAATTCCTACCCAGCCCCAAATCTGAGGATCACCTACACCCTGAGCATGTTAGCGGGACAAACCAGACAGGCATCTAAAACACAATTCCTGATACCACCTCAGATGATCACTGATCTACCCCAACCAGTATCCTTCCTGTCCCAGATTATAATTGTACATTGGGAGGAAAAACTCCTTCTCATTCCTTTCAGGCAACCAGCTGAAGCCCTGAAGCATGAGATTAGTTTATAGTCATTATTATAGAACAGAGCTACATATTTGGAATGTATGAGCCACATGTCAGCTGCAGGACCACAAAAGGAAGCAACTCACAGACTGATCCATCTTTCAAACATCTCAGGGTCATGCAAATTGTAAAACTTTGTATACCCAAAGAAGTTGCACCAGTTCGATTTAAATTAGTTTAAAAGTATTTAAACTGATGCAACACACTGGGCACATTTAAAAAGTTCATTTGGTTTTAGAGATATTACCAGATCTAGCAATATTACCTATACTTAAAAGGGGAAATTCCATTAAAACCAGTAATATCTCTATAAATTGAATGAATTTTGTAAGTGTGCTGACTGTATATTGGTTTACTCCTGGTTTGTATTTATACTTAGATATAAATCAGGATTAAACCGATAAAAGAGCATCCACACACAAAATTGCACCAATTTAAGTAAATCACTTCAAATCACACCTTTAATTAAACCAGTGCACTTTTGCATGTAGTAGATCAGGTAGATAAGTCCAGCCCTACCAAAGGCAAAGAAACTGCAGCTTTCACTCTGGTTCAACTCAGCCACATAAGTTGATTAGTACAAACAGAGGTTATTGTCCAGTGAGTATTTGCCAGCAAATCAGTTGGCATCCAGTTCAAGTCTTATGCCTTCTCTGGTCTCTGTTTTCTTTACACTGGCAAAAGAGAATGCTTACATGACATGCTAGTTCTTATCTATGTCTAGAGCCTTTTTCTTCTCTCACATTGATGTAAATAGAAGTCAGTGAAATTACCATTGTGTGAGCAAGGGTGGAATCAAGCCTCTAATTCTATCGTTTTACTATTACCAAAAACTAGAGAAGGGCAGTGGCTCAACCTGTTTTTCTATGCCTGCCATCTTCTACAAGCAAGTTGCTCAGTTCTGCCAGACCACAGTGGGAAGGTGCAGAGGACAACCCAGCCTTCCCAAAGATTTGCAGAGCAGTTGAATTGGCCTTCTTCTGATGTGAAAAAGCCTCCAGGAAGCTCCCAGCACTTGAAACCACCATGCAGGTGATGTTATTGCTACATATTTATTAGGTTTCTTTTAAGGACCTTTTTTTCTTCGCTTGCATTCCTGGAGTTGTTGGAGTTCCTCACAGCAGGGTGTGGCCTCATGCTTTCTGAGACAGCCAAGGTGATATAATCTCAAGTCACTGGAACCAACCTCATAAAAAGGTATTAATCACTAGCTAGCTTACATCACAATGAACTGGTGTTGTGTAAGAAAGGAATGTGAGGAACAGTTTGATTTCAGATAAAGGTAAGGAGAGGGGCAGGACTTCCATGCCAGGCAGAGCACAAGATTACAGAGCTATTTTAGTCACAAATTCCATAAAACCTGTGATTCAGACTTACTCAAACTATTCACTGCCCCCAAGGAAAGGAATGTTCAGTTTCTACCGACCTATTTACAGCCGGAAGAAATGGTTGTTAATTTTTTGTTGTTTTTTAGCTCCCTCTCACCTACATTTACCACTGAGGTCAGAACTCCAATACCATCAAGTATTCCCCCATAATGTAGCTTTCTCATCCCAGGAGTTACTACTTTTTAAATAGTGTGTTATTCCACACATCCAGTAGCTGAAAGGTTGCATTGAGGGATAAAATTCAGATTGAAGGGACAGGAGGAAGGTTTGGCTCATACACTCAGTGCTTAGTTACTGTGGTGATTGGCACTGTATGAATACCATATGTAGCTCTTGATTCTGATCAAATTATAGGCCAGGTCTACATTAGAAAAGATTTGCTGATATAGCTATATTGGTATAGCTGTACTGGCAAACTTTCCTTCTTTAACTACAGTACATAGTTTATAGCAGAAAAAATGCTTTTACTGGTATAGTTTATATTGATTCCCCAAGTGAAATAAGCCATACCAGCAAAAACACTTTTATGCTGCTAAAACTGCAGTTACACTAGGGCTTTAGCTGGAATAGAAATCTCATAAGTAATCACAGTCTTAACTGACATTACAATAACATCAAATGTTGGTAGTGTAGAAGTAGGCCTGTATTTAGTACCATGTTGGTGATTGCATCTGAAGAAGTGGGTTTTTTATCCACGAAAGCTTATGCCCAAATAAATCTGTTAGTCTTTAAGGTGCCACCAGACTCCTCGTTGTTTTTGTTGACAACAATGTGGTTCCGACGTGGTAAAATGTTCTATTGTAGACCAGGGCTGGCACTGTTTTTATATTTCAATTAAGTTACTCTTCATTTACGGTGTCAGATCAGAATAGGGCCCAGTAGATTAGATAGATTTGGTTTAATCATGCACCCATTGAAATCAATGGTTGTTTTGTTCAATATTAGCAAGTAAGTGGAAAAAAATATCAGTGGGAGTTGTATAGAAAAGAGAAAGATAGTCATAGGAAGGTCATAACATAGGTTCTTACACTTCCTTTTCATAAAAGGATCTGAAGTTTGCAAACCATCATGTTTGGCATCAATAACAGCTTTTATTTGACACATCACCCATTCACCCTCCTTCTTACTGAAGCTTCTCCCTTCCAAAAATGCAATGTCGTTATTTATTACTCTTAAAGAGAAAAAAATAAAAGGAATGTAACACCCTCTTTCTCTCTCTCTCAGATAAATGCAGCTTTGTCAGAACACTATTTAAGCTTGTGTGACCAGATTGCTTCCCTCTTGCACACATAGTACAGTGATCATACAGATAACCAATACATTTTCTGTGACATTTAATGTTCATGAATGTGAAAAATGTTAGCACTAGCTAAAGGTCCACACATAGTCCTGTAAATGCACTTCATTCCTTTCTTAACATTCCTGATGCTGTCCATGATATATAAATCTATATACCGCATATTAGATAGAAAATTCTTTCGGGCAAGTACTTTGTTTTATTTTATACCTGTAAAGTATCAGGCACACCTGTGGTAATATATAAATAATAATATGCCAGCACTGGGTTTGTCCCGAGCAAAGCCTGCCAATTAACCCCAATTACCCAATGATTTGGTTTATGTGCTGATAATAATAATATTAAAGCAAATAGCAAGGGAAATACTTGCTGTGGAATGGGCTGAGATGATAAATCACATTTCTCAATGGCCTAAATCAGATCCAAACAGTTTTCCATCAAAGCTAAAAGTTAAAGTTCCTATCATGCATTCCCAACTGCCATGGAAGGCTTTTCCTGCATCAGAACTGCAAAATCTGCAAGCCCAGGCTGCTTTACGTGGTTTTTGTACTGATTTTTTCAGGTAGAGGTGTGTGATTTTTTTACCAAAATAGTTAAAGCAATACAACTCCTGGTGGGGATGGGGTATAAAGGTATCTAAGGCCTGGTCTACACTATGAGTTTAGGTCGAATTTAGCAGCGTTAAATCGAATTAACCCTGCACCCGTCCACAGAACGAAGCCATTTACTTCGACATAAAGGGCTCTTAAAATCGATTTCTGTACTCCTCCCCGACGAGGGGAGTAGCGCCAAAATCGACATTGCCATTTCGAATTAGGGTTAGTGTGGCCGCAATTCGATGCTATTGGCCTCCGGGAGCTATCCCACAGTGCACCATTGTGACCGCTATGGACAGCAATCTGAACTCGGATGCACTGGCCAGGTAGACAGGAAAAGCCCCGTGAACTTTTGAATTTCATTTCCTGCTTGCCCAGCGTGGAGAGCACAGGTGACCACGCAG